CGACACTTTTCACCACAGATCAGTGAAGCTCCTTCCGGACTGTAGAACACTGATAGTCGGCGGTGAAGCGAGTCAGCTGATCATCTGGGACCTGGCCAGCCCAACGCCGCGGATCAAAGCAGAACTGACGTCGTCGGCGCCTGCCTGTTACGCTCTCGCGATCTCGCCGGACTCGAAGGTCTGCTTCAGCTGTTGCAGCGACGGTAACATCGCCGTGTGGGATCTTCAGAACGAGACGTTGGTTCGACAGTTCCAAGGCCACACGGACGGTGCCTCCTGCATCGATATCTCCGCGGACGGTTCGAAATTGTGGACCGGGGGTCTGGACAACACGGTGCGCTCGTGGGACCTTAGGGAGGGCAGACAGTTGAAGCAGCACGACTTCACCTCGCAGATATTCTCGCTGGGCTACTGCCCTACCGGCGAATGGCTCGCCGTCGGCATGGAGAACTCGAACGTCGAGGTACTTCACGCGTCCAAGTCCGATAAGTATCAGCTCCACCTACACGAGTCCTGTGTATTATCGCTGCGCTTCGCGTCCTGCGGCAAATGGTTCGTCTCCACCGGCAAGGACAATCTGTTGAACGCGTGGCGCACGCCGTACGGCGCTTCGATATTCCAGGTGTGTACCTTTCTCTCTTTTTCTCTCTCTCTTCGTTTTATTAATTCGCCGAATAGCGGTATTATACGCGTATGAATGGTACCTTCCCTTTTTCTCAACGAGGCTCGTCATTTTATATTGTACGGTATTGTTGTGGCGTTAACCCTTTCGAGGACGATGAACCTTCGTACGCGTTCAGAGAAAACAATTGGCGTGATTGGTGGACTTATGCATAGGGCGTCTCGCTTAAAGTGACCATCTGATATATCTTCGTTGTATTTGAATTGTTGGAGGAAATAATCGTACGACCTTGGTACCAAATTTTGGTGTCAGATGATAATTGATATCTTGTTGTACATTATGAGGCCGTCGATAGAGATATTTTGTACATTGCGAAGGTTTCGATTAGATCAGAGATTCTTGCTGTTTGTATCGAATAATGATACGAATTTCAAAGGACTTTGATACCAGAATCTTGTGTCAGATGATGATCAATATCTGTTGAACTTAAAAGGTCATCGACATCGATATACTTTGCACTGTAACAGTTTTGATTAGATCAGAGATCTGTGAATCGACGATGTCTCGGTTGGTACAAAAGAATTATTTAACATACTAGCTGAATCTAACCGACCGACCGGTTCTTGTTTTCTCTGAAAAAAAAAATTTCTTCAGAATGAATCGTCTGCTTGAGACTATTAAAGAGTAAACTCCACGTACCATTTAAATTTGATACTATGGTAAACGAAAGTAGAGTGGGGTGAACCCCTTAATGTCGGGAGCTTAGCAGAACAGCAACTTTAGATACCCTATTTCTTCTCTTTTCGTTCCGCATTTGCTTCGCCTTATTGGCCGCGTTAAAGACAACGAGGGGCAATAAGTACGAGCTTACGATCGTGTATTCCCCGAGATGTATTTCAACGGTAATCGAAAAGTGATTTTCAAAGGATACTTTATAATCAGATCGATCATCTCGTTAATCTAAATTCACGAAAATTTGACCGCTTCGAAAGACCCGAATTTTCTCTCGTAAATTCTCCGCCGATAGTTCCCCGTTAGAGAAGATAAGCAATTTCCAACGCGTGTCATTAGAGATTCAGTAGGATGCTGTGCACGGAACAGCAGCAAAAACCGAATCTCGAAGCGAGAGCACATGGGAATCCATATGAATTCTTTTTGCAGTCGAAGGAGTCCTCGTCGGTGCTGAGCTGCGACATCTCCGCCGACGACAAGTACATCGTGACCGGATCCGGTGACAAAAAGGCCACTGTATACGAAGTGATTTACTAGACGCGCCCGTTAAAAAAGACGTTTCACGTTTTCCTCCCTTGGTCGAAACCCGAACTCTTTAACACGCTCTCCCGTTTCGCGGGGAGATCCTACAAGTGAGACTTTTTAGCAGCCTTAGGAACCTAGACTGTTACTATACTGTGTATATATAACATAACGAGTCTGTATTAACTGGTAGAAATTACGTTTGAAAGGAGAACCGAAGATGAAGAAAAACTGGGAAAATAAAGGCAACAAACCGCGAGCAAGAGGAAAAGGAAGCTTAAAAATACAAAACGAAGAAAAGAAAAAAAAAGTAATTATTGATTATGATGATGATGATGACGACGGTCGAAAATCCAATGTGTGTGCCAGAGATAAAGCTGTATATGTATATTTAGAAGTTACGTGTGCGTGGCCCGACTGTACCTACGACCGTGTGATTCAGACGTATATAGAGGGGAACACTTTCTTTGTCGCGTGTATACAACGAGAACGTGTTAATGGGACGTTACCAAGCGATTTTGCATGCGCGTTAAGTGACCGGGAGAGAGCCTTGCAGATGGTGATGCTAGATACGGTTTCGTATAAGTACCTAATTATAGAATCAACACGCTCGAGACATACGACAAGATAGCACGGGGAAGAACGAACGAACGGCTTCGAGAGCCTGTCTACGAAAATTATACTCGCTCTCGCCTAACTGGTCATTTTCTTCGAGAAACTTTTACAATTTTTGCAATCACTGTCCCTTAGCGTGTCCAGAACAACGACCACGACCGACGATAGTAACTCAAAGCATATTACTATGTGTGGACTGGTGTACTCTTGGAACCCTTTCGACGAAGAAAAAGAAAGAAATGAAAAAAGAAGAAGAAGAAAAAGAAAAAGAAATATCAAATTGGCTGTAACTACCTTCGAACATGCGTTTACTATAGATCAGAAGCGACTATATATATGTATATATGTATATGTATATGTATATATAGTTTGTCAGTTATATGTTTTATGCTGATAGCGATATGTTGTCATCGGCAAAGAAAAAAAGAAAGAAAAAGATAAATGAAAGATAAATGTACATCGAATTATTCATCTCCTGTAAATTGTTCGTTTCGTTAAGTACCGCTACAGTCGCGAAAGGGTTCGGTCGTTGATATGTTCGCGCGTCGATTGTGAAAAAAAGAAAACAACAGCGGCTGGTAATATTCGCGAGGAATTTGTTCGAATGATATTGAATAACAATGACTCAACTGTTTCTACCTGAAGAAGGAAAGTAAACGCGAGACCTGTCCCGTGGGAGCAGTGTTGTGTATTGTCCACATGCCATAATCGGCCATTAATTAATTTTAAATATATCGATGAAAAATAGTCGACTTTTCTATCAAAGAAGAATTTGCGCAAATGTCTGTTTCTGTTTGTTTTTGTTTTGTTTCTTTCAGCGAATAAAAACGGCAGTCCTGGGTAAGTAATTGTAAAAATTCCTCACAGCTTGATCGAAATCAACGAATTGATGCGCAGTAAGCTCGAATGATTTATAGGTGTTTGAACGTGTCGAGATTTCTCCCCTCCCCCCTACTCTAGAGACTTTTCGGATAATCTGGTCACGTGCTGCATAAATCAGAAAAATGCTCGACACGAGGAATCAGTTTTAATTCTGCCGGTACATGAGTTTTAACGAATTTTATTAATTTCATATTTCGACACGTCGTTATATCGACGAATGAAAGTAATTATAAATTTTTAATGAAATAAACACGTCGAACGAATTAGGTTGAAGCGGTTTGGCGAAGAATATTCGGCCGTTCTGATTTATGCGCAACTACGTTGCGCAGCACGTGACCAAACGCGTTAACAAGTGTGTGTTGAAACACAATCTCGAGTCACGTCCATTATGCCCACAAATCATTCCGAACCACAAGATAAATTATTTTGCTGTACGCCTACTACTTCGTTTCAAAATATACAAACCAGAGTTAAACCTTTCATTGTACACTTGAAATACATTTAATGTCCGGAAATTGTATTAACCGTACAAGTAGAAACGTCAAGCTGCACGATGTTGCTCAAGTATATTGACATACACTGAAAACGGCACACTATTGAAATCTTTCCCGATATTACCCGATTATTTTTATAAAATTTTTATTACGATACTTCTTCTCTTTTATTCAATTGTTTTTGGTAAATCATTTGAATAACAAGCATCCACCGTAAATGAAATTTTCCATTTCGCGTAGTCAATTGCGAACAGAAAGTTGCATTAAGCGCCCTACCACGAGTATAATGTCTATTACGTCTGTTACGCTCATTTCTGTTATCGACAAGCACACTGATATTGCGCGTACCAATCGAACTTCCGCGTGATCGTGCGTGTGTGCGTATGAATGATGAGAACGGATCCCTGTACAAAATCCTTGTGCATCCTCATGGGCAATTGTGATCGATTACACGAGTCGATTGCATCGTGCGACAGCTCGACCGTTTAAATATACATACACCTATGTAAAGTACAATCCTATGCACAAACGAAACGGAAACTATTTCTCTACTTCGAATAGATAACAGCCCGTAGTAAAAACTCAGGCTAAATCGTTAAATTTTTAGAGATGTGCATTCATAGATGGCAACAGGTGTCATTTGGCCTGATTGGTGAATCTTGTAAAAATTAGCATGCAATAATGCACATGCAATCGAATATTTAAATTGTTCATGTAAAAGTTCTGTGAAAGGAAGAATTATATGTTGGTTGATGAATGGTATAGCATCAATTGTCTTTCAACCGAATCTGACACGAACATAACCTTGATTAAAATCACCCATTTAACTATTTGTCGTATGTTACTTTTTGTGCAAACGATTTAACTGAGTCGGTTGCATGTCGAGAAAAAAAAATCTTGCCTAAACGTTTAATTAGTGATAAAAGAGATAACAGATACAGGTAAAAAATATATTAAACTTATGCGACCATGACCATTTGCGCAAATCGATATACACGAATACCGCTTGAAAATACCGCCTAAGAAAAGTTGTTAAACTATTTTCAATTTGCTTTTGTTAAAAATTCCTTGTCTAAGTACGATACTAAAGCTATATCGATAGCAGGACAGGTGTGCATTGCAAATTACTTGAAGGAAAACCGTCGAATAGTAGAAATATATATTGTTTTCCAACTAATACGTAAACGTTACGTTGACATTTAAAAATCGCGCTTTTTTACGCTCTCTTTCTACGCAACAATGTTTCGTTGAGGGACACGTATATACGTGTGTACGTAAAAGAATAGTATATATTGTGCCATTCCCATCTTACCTGCAAATAACGATGAACGATGATTTTGTAATCGCGATACATGCACACACACATACACACACATGTGAAAGGGAAAACGTTCGAATGAGAAATGTACACAACCCATATGGACGTAACATGTATAGCGGAAAGTACGGTGCAAAGTAAAAGCGACGCATCTTGAAAAGTGTTTTTGGAAAAATAAAGGTCTATTCCATTTTTCCTCTCTAGCTGTAGTAATATACGAGAATCAAATACGTATTATACTTTTATTTATTGTCTCTCGCGTCAAGACAAGTTTCTCTTTATCCTCTGAGTGTGATAACAAAAAAATACTAACAAATGAAATAAATTCGTTTTCGTCACAAAAGCCTATGCTTTGAATAATTTTATGGCTCTTCGGTGTGTCGGTAAAGTAAAATTGCATTGTGCTACCTATTACGTGCCGAATTGGACAAAGTAATGCGTGATTAGTAAATAGCAAATAATAGAAGAAACATATTTCATCGAATTATGGGTGTTTCCATTAAATACTGTTTGTGATGCTATTGCATTTTAACCGTACTAATTCAGTATTAGCCTTAATAAGTTGCTACGAGCAGTGGCTAATTTAGTAGTTGTGCAGAGCATGGTAACATAAATGGCGGTTTACTATTTAACATGCGGTTTTAATGAAATGCACTTAATGCACGATTTGTGGACATTAGTGTACCGTAACAGGATTCGACTTTACAAAATATCCTATTATTATTTTTTAATTTATCACTATTTCGGTAAAAAATTGTACATATATTACAAACAGGTTTAAAACTTTTAACATCCATTTGTTCGTTACACAATTTGCGCGCAATTACGTTTGTTTCGTGGGTGTTGAACATTGTTCACGTTAAGTGTATATTTGTCTAAAAAAAAAAACATTTTTACAGCATTACGACAATCTCGAAAGAGCATTATTCGTTCGTCACTGAAGAATAAAAAAGAGGAGGGGAGAATCAAGAGAAAGAGGAAACAAACGATAGGAATCACAGGTTTACTTCCGGTAATTTCTTCGATGTATTTACATTTACGTGTATCTGTGTGTACAAGATCGTTAAAAACATTAAATGTTTATGCTCGCGTTACGATAATATATTCATGTATTTACATGTGTATCCGTGTGTACAAGATCGTTAAAAACATTAAATGTTTACAGGTCTATTTTTCGTATTGCCCCGCGCATCGTTAATTTCGCGTATTTTTTTTTAATTTTTACCCATCTATGCTCTGTGTTTGTCTCTCTCTCTCTCTCTCTCTTTCTTTCTCTCTCTCTCTCTCTCTCTCTCTCTCTCTCTCTCTTGTACACATTCGCTTTTTCATGCTCTCCGCACATTCTTTCTCTCCCGCAGTTAATTATCGTCGATTTTAAATATTTTCTCACATAACGCCGCAGTTTATGTACAAGTAGAAAAACCTAATAACAATATCGACTATCACACCTTATACACCATTAAAAATGGCTGGTACATACACTACGCGCGTATAACTAAAAAGACATTCGTACTGGCAGAGACGCCTGTTTTCCGAACATTCTTAGTCGTTTTTCCTTTTGTGTTCTCGATACAATTGCTTATGAATCGTCTCCGATAAAATCAGGATCGTACAGAAATACAAACTCTCTCCGTGGAAAAAAATTTTATCAGAATTCTCGAGAAAATTCTCCGCGCACGCTTGTATATGGACATACATACATACACACACACACACATACGGATTCCGTTCTCTCTGGTATGTACAAACTAGAAAATACATAACACAGCTACTTATATGTGTACAAGTAACCGATTTTACAGGAAATGTACAAAGGTGAACGGTGATACTTCACGCTTACGTTTCTTCTAGGAC